ATAATATTGTCCTAATATTGCTCTATTGCTGTAATATAGTTCAGTTTAGTGTCATGTCAACAATTGCATTGGCAATGTGGCCTCTTTCTACACACATACAAACCAACACCTGGCATTGCCCTCTGCCACAGCTCCAATAGTCTTATGGTTAGTGCCATGAACTTTCATGTGGAAGATCACAGGTTGAAACCCAGCTAAAACAACTTTAACAAAAAATCTTTGTCAAAAGCCTCAGGAATGATTTAAGTCCAGACGAGTTCTTGAACACTAGCTTGTTGTTGTTAGCATTTAGCAGAACGGACTCTGTGCTGCATTCAGGAGGTAACAGACTTTACATGTTCTCAAATTGGGAGTAGTTGTTACAATGTTTTTATGTTTATAATTATACAGTTTGAGTGTAACATAGATGGTTAATTGGTAAAATAGTATAAATAATTCTTAAAATGACTGGTTGCTTTTCAGCACGGGGTACTGTAATTATTTTTCTAGTGAGAAACTTGTTTTTTCTGACACCATTTGAACGTTGCTCGGGCCGTGCCGGATGGGAAGCGGCTTGACCAAAAAGGATAAAAATAAAGAAACGCACTCACCGCCGCTGGCAAACATATACATATATGATCGGTTCTGTTTGTTATGATATCGGGCCGATAACTGTCATACATCCCTATATTGTACTGTTTTACACTAAACAATAAGGCTCATTTTGATAGTTGTGGATATGTATAATGTATACAGAACAATATTTTATGTAAAATATGTGTTTCCAATACATTACTGTGCTTACAAGGTAGTCTGAAATGTTTAATAAGAACCTTTAGATGTAATATGTACATGAAATGATTTGGCTCACTATTTGGCAAGGAACCAGAGAGTTTTGTCTCTTTCTTGTCCTTAATGCATAATAAGCACTTATTAATGATTTATAAAGTGTTTACAGAAGAATTAATCTATCTATATGAGTCATCTATAAGGGGAGAATTATTTTAAAGGGGTACCAAAACAATAGTTAGTTTAAGGAAACAAATAATCAACTTCTTTTTTTATTTTACCTTGAACRTCAGACAGCGCAATAAGAAGATCAGCTTTCATTTCAACAGCAAGTCGTGCGGCCAAGCTGTCGTTATCTTTTATGCTTATTACCTGCAACACAAAACAAATAAATATGAAAACATTTTACTGATTAGAGCTCATCAGTCACAACTCGTGTTAGCAGCTGTGTGAAGTTATGCACGTCCCTCTTTAGCATTCCCAGCTCGCCCGACACCCGGTACCCACATTTACCCCCTGCAGGTCACTGTTGGGGACAGGGGGGGGGACGACGGCGTCGTTGGTGTTGATGATGGGCACRATGTTCATCCGGAGCAGCTCGTGCAGCGTGCTGTTCAGGTTGCGACGCTTCTGCTCGTCGTGAAAATCCAGATTCGTGACCAAAATCTGAACAACGAGACACAAATAAGTTAGTGACTTTTTAAATGACRTGCTTATCCTTCAGATACAAAAAGTCAAAGAAAACTTTGTTWTATTTAAGAAACTTGGCACACCACACATTATTTTACCCATTTAGACACATAACTGGGCTATTTTCTTTTGAAWTTKGCTCGGCAAAAGGGACACAGGAAGTGACATCAAAGGGGAACTCCTTAAAGAAAACAACTCTCTGGTCTTTGTTTGTTGAAACATTATGATCTGAACACTGACTTTTATTTTGTTTCTGTCTGATAACGACTCAAAATAATCTAAAACCTCAGACTCCTCTCCACAGTCTGGGCTGTTGAGCATTTTAGCTTAGCTCTATTCAAATGCAGACATTCCCCTTTGACATCACTTCCTGTTACTTCACATGCAAATATCTCAACAACTGTTCATCTCAGCAGCATGAAAATTATTTTGTAAAATGTTCTCAGTGTTTTCTTTCCAAAAATGCATTTGTATTATTAAATTATTTTGATGTCACAGACACTAAGTTGTCCTCTGTGAGTGTTTTGCTCAGAACCAAAGCCCGGGTCCTCACCTGTGCAGTGCAGATGCTGTACTGGGTAAACATGGCTTCATATAACGCCATCARACCGCTCTGTCCTGCAGCTGCACACGCTCTGGCCTCCAGAACTGGAACCGACTGAGGAGAAAATTAAAGGTGACTAATCGAATTGTGAAAAACGTTTATAAATCTGCGAGTTGAAGCATAATCACAATATCTTTGAGTTGGTTCTGTCCGGAGTGTAACGCCTGTCTGACGCTCTGAGACAAAAGAATCTCGTGTCTGAGTCGCTGCTTCCCGAACGCCACGGCTCCACTCGTAACGATCATCATCTCCCTGCCTTGGTTCTGCAGCATGGCCACCTGACAGACACACACACACACACACAGGTTCGTTACACCGCGTCGCTGCCAAGGCCACGCCCGACTCGTGCCTCTCGTCACCTGCTCCACGATGGAGGCCAGCCGGCCCAGTGCCAGGCCGCACTCGTCCCCGCGCGTCACCACGGCGCTGCCCAGCTTCACCACGATCCGCTTGGCCTGCTTCAGCTCGCTGCGGTGGGCGAAGGACTTCCCGTGGGGACGCGGGAGGAAAACTGAAAGAAATCAACGTGTCATCTCRGCACCACATCACTAAACAGGAAGTTCTCGCACTGAACAGTCACAGGTTTCTGCTTTTATTTTGACAGGCTGACTCCGCGGGCAGCTACAGGTAAAAAAAAACAAAAAACAACGCAATTTTTATCTTGTTGTGAAACTTCTGGGACATTTTTCTGAAAAGTGCTGAAAGCTCTCAACGCACTATGGAGTTCTTTGCCAAAGTATTTGTTTTATGCACCTGTATTTTTACAAGTTGTGTACCAAAGGTAACTCCAGCTGTAGAGGTGGACTGGGAGGATGTGAGGGTTGTGAGTTTTGGAGAGGATTACTTACATTTAGTCTGGGAATATGTTCTGCTGGATGTTAGACACACATTTGTCAGCCGGATTTTAGGTGGCAGGCGAGAGCACAAAGCCAGCCTGGCAAACATGGCTCCAACAGCTGAGGATGAAGATGAAAAACACACAAAATCAATGTCAGGTCACTGTAACCTCATCAGAAATCAGCACCAATTTTATAGGAGTATAAATGGATAATTACTATTTATTATTCTCTGCTAATACATATATATATACATATATACATTATATATACATATATACATTATATATACATATATACAAATATACATTATGTATACATACATACA